TTTATTGAATAAATGATCTCTACAGTGAAAGACATACTCCATAAACAACATCCAAAAGGTCAGTCTCTGCGCCTTGACTTCACACCTTTTATAGGAGTCCAGGGGCACTGACGCTCCAGAGATCAGTTTATAGCCACTGCCTGGCCAAAAGGGCAAATGGTTCACACTGGAAACCCATTTGGCCACCAAGAACTTCCCGTACTTTCACACTAATCTTCCTTGCCCCGGCCCCAGGTCAGATGGCATAGAGTACTCAGGGGCCTTTCCCGGGGGTTTATAAATAAATTTTGGCTCATTACTGATCTTGGACTGGCCCACATGGCATCTTGCCATAGTTTGCTCAGATAGTCAGACTTGTCCTAGAAAGATCAGCAAACAGGCATGCAGAGAACACCCAGAACAATAATCCAGGTGTAAATGGTCACCTAAATACCACAAACTGAAGACCCTCCTTCACATCCTGCCCCCAGCTCCACAGAAGCAGCTCAGCCCAAGCATGTTCCAGGGTTAGGAATTGTCCATTCTTACCGGAATGGTTTTGTAGCTTGTTTTTCTTGGCGACACTTTAAGTAGACACTTAAATGTTAGACCGTCTATAATCCTTGTCACTAAGTGCTAAATGCTAGTCACATAGGCAGTATTATTACGAAGCCCAGACAATTGATGTATTTACCAAGGTGTCACTTATGAGTTCTTTGGAAATGAATTGCTCAGAATAGTATCTGAGACTTTTCAATTATCTGTATTTAAAAATTCACATTGAAATTACTTTGAAGAGCTTGGTATGGTGGTGTGTACCTGTAATCACAGCACTCAGGATGCAGAGGCCTGAGAATCATGAGTTCAAGGCCAGCCTGGAAAACAGAGCTGACTCAAAAAAAATTATTGTAAGGATATTTTTATTTCTTTATATATTGAATGCAGAGCAGTGATCTGAGATACTTGTTTACAAGGCCTGATTTTAAATTTTATAACACAAAACAATAGAGCTCCATGACTAGAGAAATGATATGCCATTTAAAACATATTTTTATTATCATATTATTAATTGTAAAAGATAATGGATTTTATTATGACATTTTCATACATGTATACAAGGTATGTTGATCATATTTTATTATAGACCTTAGCAAAGAGGCAAGAGTGATCTGTAAAGTGGGAATTTGACACATTGGTGGGTTTCACCACACATTTAGGATGAGTATAATACTCATTTTAATAATTGAATCCTTGAGTTTAAGGATTAAGGTACTTCATTACACCCCAAAACTTGCCTTCCAAATGAGGACACAGTGAGGTAGGTAATTAACTTCTCTGGCTTGATGTTGAGGGTTCTAGAGGCAGATGGTTTTGAGTTGGGAATTGGTTCCCTCATCTAGCCACAGCTCCACGGTAGCATGTCCTGTGTGAACTTGGGTCTTTTACTTAATTCTTCTGCACCTGCATTTCCTCATTTATGAAATGGAAATTTCTCATTGATTTGTTAGTATGATTAAATTTCATAAAGTATGCAAAACACTTAGCACAGTATGGTCCAATGCTAGATACTGGCACTTATAGTTAACAAGGGTTCTGGCAGGAATTTTCTGACTTCTCAAATTTAGGATAATTGTTTCAAAGGACCACAGAGCTAGGAAAGACACTTAAAGTGATATGAAGTGACTAAGCAGGACTAAAGTATCTATGCTTAATCATGGCCAGATCATTTTTTTATTTTTTGGAGACAAGGTCTCACTATGTAGCCCAGGTTGGCATTGAAGTCTCAATCATCCTGCCTCAGCCTCCAGAGTGATGGGATTACTGGTGTGTACTACCACACCTGGCTCCAGGTAATTTATATTTATTGGTGGCAAGTTAAGAAGCACCATGTACTATGAAAGGCTGAGAACTGGGGGTTCTCACACCTGTAATCCTAACTACTCAGGAGAAGAGGCAGAGATCAGGAGGATCGTGGTCAAAGCCAACTCAGGCAAATAGTTCCACAAGACCCTATCTCGAAAAAACCCTTCACAAAAAAAGGCTGATGGAGTGACTCCAGGCGTAGGCCCTGAGTTCAAGCCCCAGTGTTGATCCTCACACCCCATCAAAAAAAGTTAGATGAAAGGCTTCAGAAATCCACTCCCTGGGAAACATGTTGCTTAATCCAGATTGTACACATGTCTATAGGTCATGAATATCATCGCAATTCATGAAAGCAATCCATTCCCAATTTTACTTACGGGAGCCGTGGGCTCCTTAACTCACAGAGCTACTCCTATCTTCTTTAAGAACATTTTAGTTTTAGATATCTCCTTGCTGTTATGCATTTTCATGTAAATTGCAGTCCAATTCATTTAATGTTCACAGTATTTCTAAATGATATGCAAAGCAGAGAGTATTATCACCATTTTTCTTATCTCTCTTTGCTTTAACATGGGAGAAGAAGCAAGACCCAGAGAGGTTAAGCAACTTTCCCAAAGGTCACGAAGCTGTCCACTAGCCAACACAAAAAGATGATAGGAACACTTAGTCCAGGGCTTCTCAAACCGTAATGTGTGTATGAATCATTGGGGATCTTATTACAGTGCACATTCTGAATTCAGCAAGTTTCCGGGGTTCTGGAATTCTGGGTGTCTAACAAGCTCCCGGATGTTGCTGCACCTGGTAGTCCTTGGGTCATCCCTGATTATACCTTTATTACACCCTTCCTAGTATTCCTCAATTGTACTTGCATCATTTGCATCTTTATTCATTTTCCCCACTAGACTGTGAACTCCATTATGTTTTGTTCACTACTTTGACCTGGTTGCCCTGCACCATGCTTGGCAAAAAGGAACTGAATGAATATTTTTTGAAGAGTGAAGGAAAATTACATTTACCAATATTACTTTCATATTATGTCTGTGATTATTTGTTGAAAGAGGATATTTAGCATGCATTTTTTTCTTCTCTCAAGTCACATTATGACACCTAGTTGTAAAGCTAAGTCCTAAAATAACAGACAAATCCCTCCAGAATCAACCACGTCAGACCTATGTCTTCAGCAGAACTATGCCTAGGCTCCAATGGAATGTAATCACAACCTTGGAGTAATGGCCTCAGTAAAGTGAGACCATTCGATGTCAGGGATAAATGTAGCCTAGGCAGGTGACCAAGGCTTGCTAACATTCAGTTGGAACTGAGACACGTCCAAAGACATTAAAAATAATAACATTCTAACATCAACTGAGGGTTCTCCACATGCCAGGCACTGTGCTAAGCACTTTGTGCCAGTCATCTCATTTCATCTTATGTACAAACTAAGGACATAGACACTTATTTCTTAGTAAGAAAGCTAAGACACAGGTTTATCAAACTGTAAGAGGTGAAGCCAGGATTTGTACCCATGAATTCTAGCTTCAGATTTGATATTGCTAACAAAATAGCCTATAGCATGGAAGCTCCCAGGGAAAAGAAGCAATTGCCTGAACTTGGGAGTGGTTTACTCATCTGTCAGTGACCTGATAATTGGCTCAGAGAAATCCCAAGTTAGAGAGGTTTGGAGAGAAACACATCACATCAATAGGAATTGGTCCTTGTAGGCAAAAGGAGAGGTCTGAAAATTCAATGTTGAAAAACAGTAAGAACTTCCGTTCTAGCTTTTAATTAATGTCCAGTTTGACTCTGTTTGGTCTGTGGTTAAATATCCAATACCACAGAAAGGTTAGGTAAGTGTCAGTTCAGGAAGATGTCTCAAAGGTCCAATTCCTTTTATACTTCATTGGGTCTCCCATGAAACTTTGCATTAATCATTGAGCCAACTCTGAGAATACAGTCATTACATAGAAAAAGTCTGAATTTTGTTCAGCATGTGTGTCTAATAAAAAAACACAAAAAGTCTAAAGGTCAGAGAGACCTTTGTTTTTCAAAAGTTTAAAAGACAGTTCAACAGTTAGATTTTAACACTGTCAGAAAGTGATGGAATTAAGAAAACAGGGCAAGAGAACGCATGGTTAGATTGGACATAAGAAGAGGTTAAACTTAATCTTCTCAATAAAAGATTTTTAAGTATGGAATGAGAAAATAAACTGGGGTGACAATAAATGCATCATTGAACCTGAAAAGAGCATTATGTTTGGATAAATAAAAAGTTGAGCTCTCTAAATCCATTTTAAACTACACTTAACTTACTAATATATTATTATTTACCTTTGGAAGGAATATGATATGACAGATTGTGAAGACTCAAAACCTAGTTTTGTAGTGGTGGCCTCAAGTTGGCATGATTCCTCCAAGATCCAGTTTCTTTTTTGGTTGAATGGGGCCAATACACGCCTGTCTCTCAGAATTATTTGAAACCTTGTATTAAAAAAGATACAGTAAGCATTTAGCTCCAATAGGAAGTGACACAGGTTATACCCTATTTTCTCTCTTATGAGATCTGTTTTACTAAAAGAATCACTCATAAGAATTTCCATTCCTAACTCTTAAGTTTTATTGGCAGAAATATTTCTTTTAATTGCTCAGGGTTAAGAAAAATGAGCTACCTACAAACTGATGAAGTATGCATATAAGGAAATTAGTACAAACTATTGTTATAGTGCGTGCAAAGGTTGTTCTTCTAGGATGTTAAGCTTGGTGTATTAAAAATAAAATGATAGGGCTGAGATACATAGCTCAGTGGTAGAGTGTATGCCTAGCATGTGTGAGGCCCTGGGTTCAATCCCAGCATCAAAAAAAAAAAAAAAGATAAAAAATTTATGGTAGTTATATATTCTTAAAAGCCAAGTTCACTCATAATTTCACCTATAAATTTTAGTATTTCAAATAGCAACAATGTTTTAAAAAATCAAGCTGCTTTAAATAGGTAGACTTTTTAAAAAAAAATCCACTTCGGTTTATGTGAACATTGTTTATAAACTATAAGGTATTAAAAAATATAGTGTAGTTTTTATTCTAAAACCTTGTTGGACTTTTAGAATAAAGTACTGATGTCATTAAAGTAAAGTCATTGAACATAGTAACAAATTTTTATTCACTGGAATTCAATTTGAAATGCACATATAAAGGAAGTCAGCTTTCTAAGAAGTTATGATAACATACATAATAGACATTAAGTCAACAAATAAAACAAACAAAATTTTTAGAAGTCTTCCCAGAATTTCATCTTCCAGACTTTGAGGGGTAGTAGTAGAAATTAATATCCAATTTTTACCAGTCATATTCAGAATTCCTGCTTCCTAGGGTGGAAAAAAGAGAAAAGTATCCTTAAATGAATGTATTTATAATCTTGATGCTTTTCCACTCCATTTAATATTTGCAATATAAAAATGTAGTGATGAAGATATGCTTTCCAGGGATACTCTACACCTATTTGTAACCAAGCAATGAACTCGGGTATCTTTCTCCCACTCATTTTGACCACTTTATGTCATAAACACAAGTTTTTCTCGATGCCTAACTTGCTTTTTATCTAAAAGAAAAAGATCAAGAAACTTTCATAATAACCACTCTCTTGTCATGTTATCAGTAATTTATTTACAAAGTATTCGCAATCATTTATCATTTAATCATTTTTATTTTCATAAAGGTTCCCTTCCTCTAACCTGTACAATTGGTGTTCGCTCCCCCAGGAAACAAGAATTTGAAAACATGAGAAAAGGCAGGTAGTGACAAGTTTTTAAAAAATGATCAACAAAAGGTCTTTTTCATTTCATTAATCATTCTCAAGATCCTCTCATATGTTTTGGTGACTTAAGAAGAAATCAAACATTTAATTTCTTCACATCTCTGTTTGCCACTCTGTTGGAACATTTTACTAAATGTCTCTGTCAGGCTAGGAACTTGGCATCACTCAAAACCCCTCTTTCAGGGAATGCAAAGGCAAATGAGCTATATTCATAAAGCTTACCCTGAAGGTCCTATTCAACTTAAAATGAACAACAATGCCTTTAAAAATGGCGATATTTAGATAGTGAAACATTTCATTTCCTATTTTCACTCAAAAATCAAAAAAGCAAGTTAGGTTAGAGAGAAAGGAATATTATGCTTTTGTGTTGTCTTCACCCACTTTGAAGAGCCTTCATCAATTTCTGTAATAACTTGCTCCCTTCCTAGAGAAAGGAATGACTTGTTCCAAGTCAATCACTGGCAAAATACACGCCTAGAATTTTCCCTACATTCAACAATTCCCTTTCCTGTGTTTCAGCAACGAAGGGCAAAAATAATACATGAGTTTACCAAGAGACTTTCCTTCTGGTAGCCTCAAACTTCACCTTGAGTTTCTGCAATGGGCGCTCCTTGGGGCAACTTCTACTCTCTCCAAAAACAGTGAAGTCAGAAGTGAGGGAAGAGTAGACAAGTAATGGGGACAGAGGAGTGGCTACAGAAAAACGCATTTCTCACCTGAATGAATCTCAGGAAGTGGTAAGTAACACGTCCTCAATTTTTTTCCTCACTCTGCTCTTGCTAGACCAAAGTACGTTCAGTGCAGGTGGTCTCTTAGCAACCTTGGTTCCTGTGTCAAAAAGCACATTGAAAGGTTTAATTGGACTGCAAGGTAGTGTATGAAGTGGAGGGGCAGGGAACATACATGGCAAAACTCTAAAATTACTTTCAAAAGAAGACAGGAAGGAGATGTTGAAGAGTGGGAAAATGTGATATGTCGATTTCATTTTAAGAGAGAATTATACATTTGAAACACCTGTCTTTGTGGCAGGATACACGTACAATCATTATTTTTAATATCTTAAACTTGCTAATCTTTGCCCATTATGACATAGATAAATTGTGGCATAGTCATATAATAGAATATTATACAATAATGCTAATTAACCTATGGCTACATACGAAAACAGGGAAAATCTTACAATACAATGTTGAATTTTAAAAAACAAGACACCAAAGAAACCACACGGTCTACTTTTATATAAAGTAGAAAACAAAGGCACAGTGCATGATTTGGGGTGTATATGTGGATAGCAGTGAGTAGGTGGTAAATTATTAAGAAAGGGATTGGATACCATGAAACCAGGGCAGTGATGACTAAGAGGGGTACAGGAGCTGTCCACCATGTTTCATTTCTTGTCCAGCATAGTTGTTATATTGGAAACCACTTTTAGCCACTTGTTAAATTGCATGTAGTTTTATGTGCTCTTCTGTATGTACATTTCATAATCAAAATGTTAAAAAATAAAGTCAGAGGGAAATACCTATAAATGTCAACAGTGGTCACCATAGTTAGTTTGAGTAGAAAGACCCTGGGTTCTTTCTTTCTCCCTTGCTATATTTTTCATGTCCTTTCACTTAGAAAGGTGATGCCTGTAGAATCTCAAAAGCAAAAAACACAATCCTATTACTGTTAGTCTTTGTCCTTCATCGTATATTTAAAAGTAAATTATACGACTGTGTTTTTGTCAAACCAATCATCATAACAAATGTGAACAGAGGAAAAGTTAAATTTATCAACATTTTAATAAAAATATATAATTTATATGATCAACAAGCTTAAATTTTTTGCTTAAGACCACACTCCCATCACATTCAAAATGCTCATGAGAAACAGGTACCTGGGCGGTTCTTATTTTGTTCTTCCCCTTGCTTCTAGATCTAAGCCATTGAAAGAACACAAATTTGTATTGTCACACATTTGTAAGCACACATGTATTTATGTGGATTAAAATCACAAGTCTTACAATACTTTGATTTATATTGATGTGTGCTATTTTAATTTATATTAACTCTTAGAATCTTGGTTATCAAGTATCTTTGATTTATATTAATTTATACTATGTTAATTTATATTAATTCTTAGTTAGAATCTTGATTATCAAATGTTTTTTCTCTGGGATTTAATGAACATTTGGGGACTTGGGAGAAGCAGCTATTTAATGGCAGCACTTTTTTAGAAAAAATATTTTCTAGTTTTTTTTAATCAGATAAAGCATGCACTAACTAAAATGACATGAACTTCAATTTTTGTTATGGCATCCTAGATGATTTTGGGCCAACTATATTTTATGTTGAAACTTTACATGATCACAAATAATTTCCCTTCCCATTTCAATGCTTCTACTTCCCTTTTCCCCATTTCTAGAGGCCATTGGGGCCAGTTTACTATTTTCTAGAATGTTATACTGAAAGTAGAATGGATAATCTCTATCTAGTTTTTGAAACTTTTGTTTTTCCTTTGACTCCATCAAGATTTAGGTCATTATTTATTGGACACTTGTGGCATCTCACAAAGCATGTTACACAGCTGGAAAGTAGCAACAACTCTTAGTTTCCACAAGCTGGATTTCATTGTTTTCCTGTTCACTTTGCCACCAGTTTGCATGTTCTTGCCTTTGAAACTGGTGCTATCTTGTTTTAAGGTTTTTTTGTTGTTGTTAAGAAAAAGTTTCTTAAATCAATTGTGACTCCTGGGATCACAAGGAGAGTTCATTTTCTAAATGGCTTGCAGAAAAAGAGCAAAACAAATAAGAAAACTGGCTATTACATAAAAGTATTACAAGTTCACCCTTTTTCAATTCTTCTCAACTTTTACTATTTCCCTTTATGAGGTGTAGATTTTGGGTTAAGACAAAGAACAGCACATACTTTGCAAAGACTTTTGCAATCAAAAGAAAAACTTTTCATTGGATTCAAGTTTGTAGTCTTAAACCTATGAGTCACATTTCAAAAATATTTTTGATAAAAATTGTCTAATTCTACTCTTTGTTCCCATCAATATGTATAAGTAAAGATAATATTCACAGAAGTTCCCAGGAGACACATACTGAAAAGTGAGACATTGAAATCTATCCATTTTCACTTAATAGGTCACCTAAGTAATAGGAAAACTACTCTTTTTTGAGTGTCTACTATGTGTCAGGCTGTAATTACACACATCGCAGTACTGGGAGGTGAAGGCCCAGAGTAGCCCAAGGCTGCCAGTATTCTGTGTGGAAGTCTTGACACTAGCCTAGGATTCTACCTTCCAGATTTCACTCTCCTTCAACTTCACTGGTCTATTAATGTTTTTGGTTGGGAGTTACATTAGAAAGGATCTTGCATTGCCATGGAAATGGACTAGACTGAAATGGATGTCCACATAAGTATTAATAGCCTCTCTCCCTCAGTCCTGACTCCTTTCCATAAATGTGAACTGGTTGTTGAACAATGGGATAGATGGTCTCAGCATTACCTCTCTGGGCCTGACAACTCTTAATTTTCCAGAATATCTGTACAACAGTGAAGTGTTATTTTATTCATGTCAAAACAATCTGCCTTCTGTCAGGGGGACATTTCCCAGACTACAACTACAAGTCCACTCTCTACCAATGAGATTAGCTAAAAGTACTTTTTCATTACCTATTTTTGCTCTCTTTTACTACTTAATTTATTCTTTTTGTTTTGTCTTGTGTTTTTGAGACAAGGCCTCTCTGTGTAGTTCAGGCTGGATATAAATCTGTAACCCTCCTGTCTTGGCCTCCAAAGTGCTGAGGATACAGGCATGTACTAACATGCCCAGTTACTCTTGTCTATTATTTTGTGTTTCTAATGACTGGCTGTCTTATACTGGAAAAGTTTCTGCTCCTTAGTCTTTCGAACATGAAGTAGATACAAGGAGAATGCTTCCAAGACATAGTTGAGAGAAGAGTCTAAAATTAAATGGACAAGGTTCAAATCTCACATGGGTCACTTATCATGAGACCTTGGGCAAGTTACATCAACTCTCTGCCTCAGTTAGAACCTCTACAACTTGAGGGTGAGAATTAAATGAGGTAAGACTTGTGCCTAGAAAGTAAACATTTAATAGGTAATGGCAACGATTCTTAATTGTAGTCTAGCACGTTACCTGCTAGCTTCCACTCCTTAAATGAACCATTCCCAGACTATTTAAGCATCTAAACACACAAAACCATCAACTCCCACTCCTCTTTGAGACTCAGTGTTATGTTCCCTATGATGTGTTCTGATCTTCTCAGGCAGAATTTATTTCCCCCTTGTCTGCAACATATCAACAGTTACTGTCTATGTTATAGCTGTTTACCTGAACTACCATAGACAGTTGCTATCTTTCCAGAAGGCGGGGAGGCCTTATCCAACCTGGAGACCAGTGTCTCACAGTCTCTGACACTAAGAATTGACTTAATAGTTGCATTTAAAGCAGAAGCTTTCATGGGAGACTAAAAGTTCACTTTGTTCAAATTACAACATGAAAAACATATATAGACGACTTTTACCAGAAAATAATTTTGAAAATAAAACTCCAAAGTATTATAGTTAATAAAATTTTCCTTTAATTATTTGAAAAATCATATGAAAATTATGTCTTGATGTTTTTGCTTTTTTGTTTGTTTGGGATTTTTTTCCCTTTTAATTGGGCACTGAGTTGTTGGAAGGGAATACACATTTGGGTAGGACCTACAGAGTTTTAGGGTGAGTGTGTCTTGTTGGGATGGCTACTGTTTCTATGGCATAACAGAGATTTGTTCTCTCTAAGGCCTCAAATTCACATGATTCAGGAGTTGAAACTCTTGCATATTCAATGATAAATTTTGTGTGTTCTATAAGTTTCTGAAATTTGAGTTCAAGTTGTGTTTTCTAAACTAATTAAGGTCCCATTACATTCAACCCAAAGCTGAATTATATAAGAAAGGAAAGTCAACACATATCTGAGAAATTTACTTAAGCCTTGCATTAGACATAAGCCTTGCACTAGAGAAAGCTTGTAGGAGAACAAATAAATGGAAAATGACGTTGGCCCTGATTGTTGTGCCTCATTTCATGATTAAGAACTGATTTCCTCTTTCTTGCTAAGAAAAACAATAGTATCAAAAGGTTTGAAGTTGGCAATGGAAATGGTATTTGATCTTTGATAAACTTCTCATTTGACAAATGAGGCCCAGAGAAGTGCAGGGACTTGTTTGAGGTCACAGTTAGTTTTGTCTTGAGCTACACCATAACCACCTTAGCATTTTTTTTACATTTAGAATAAATTGAATTCTGTGTTTTACTATACTAGGCTATTTGAAAACATTCTACCTTCGCCATCTCCCAATTTCTTCGATTCAGGCCAAAGTAAGACCAGAAAGTCCAGAATTAAATCACAAAATGAAAACTGGAAAATTTGCCAGGTCATGGTGACAAGGTAAGCTTGACAAGCAAACTTCAACTGAAAACATGTGTTTTATCACAGATGTTCAGTCAGCAAGCTGGAGTGAAGTGGATTTGGGGCCAGATGGAGCTATTTTTAGCTCCTGGCTCAGGCACTGTTAGCTCTGTAGCCCTGGACAAAACTCTTAATCTCAGATGCTACTTCATCTGGAGAGCACAGATAGTATCATCTGTCTTGCAAGGTACTGAAAGGATTTAATTTGCAACTAATGTTAAGCACCTACCACACATTTTGATTTTATTTATTCTTTTTTCTTTTTTTTAATTTTTCTTTTATTCATATGTGTATACAATGTTTGGGTCATTTCTCCCCCTTTCCCCCACACCCTCCCTTACCTCCCCAGCACCTCCCTCTTC